GTGTGTGTGAGTTTGAGTTTTGATTTTAAAATTATATTGTTGGCAAACGTCAGACTGCCTCTCAATGGTTTTACCTTGTTATGTTTTTATCATGGTATGTAGTGCTAACTTGACACCATACACCTGGTCGATGGAATTGAGATATTGAAAATGTTATATCCCTTGGTCAGCGGCGGATTTAAATATATGTTACGCCTAGGCAATTCAGAATTTGCCGTCCTTTTTCCTATAAGAAAAAAATTTTGAGGCAAAAGTACCAGTTTTGGAACGATTAGCAGTCAATAGAATTATTCAAATTTATGTTATTTACGATACTTTTATTACAATTTAAGATGAAAAAATGGTATTTTCCAAGGCACATTAAACAGGTAGTATCAGTAGAGCAAAAACAACATTTGCGTGTATTTTGTTGTTGCTTCTGGTATCGAAAGTGTCAAAAACTGTTCTGAATTTTTTCTTCTAAATCAAAGCGTGCCATGTGAAATACAAAAAATTATAAAAAATAAAAAATTGAAATTGGAAAAAATAAAAATTGATGCAAGTAAATTTGTTTGCTTCTCGAAGCATTGATCCATCCTTTGCAAGGCCCAGTAATCAGCGGTCGTGCTGCCGAGTTGGGCGAACGTTCCAAAAGCTGCTATTCAATCGCTTGTTTTGTATGGAAAAAGGTTTCACAAGCAAATGGATTTTAACAACTTATAATTTTCGTGAGAAAAAATTAAAAATATTTGACACTTTCGAGACCAAATAATTTGAAAATACCTCAAATCAGCTGCTCTACTGATACTACCTGTTCAATGTACCTTGGTATTTGCCTTGAGTAAACGTTTTAAATTTTTAAAGAAAGCCATCGTTAACAAACTTTTTTCACTTGATAAGTTATAATCTCATTACCAAATTAGTATTTTTAAATATTATCATTTAAATAATATCAAAAATACCTAACAGTGTTGTCCTATTTTCTGATTGCGTAATTGAATCTCAAATTTATGTCTTAAAATATACAAACACAAACTCTACTTTCAGTGCAGCTAACTTGAAAAAACAAATTTTTTTCGACTAAAATTTTGCCGCCCCCCAGGGTTTTGCCGCCCTAGGCTCCTGCCTATGTTGCCTTAATGGTAATCCGCACTTCTTAATTATGGCATGCATTTTAAAAGTAGTAGAAAGGGGGGAAAAATAAGTCCAGCTCTGGAAAAGGTACTAATATTAGTTGCGATCAGATTTTACTGGAAATCGATCCCGTACTCGGTTCTCTGACTATTGAGAGGACAAAAAAGAGAGTAAATACGGTTCTCTCTCTGTCAGAAGTTACCAGTTTTAGTCCGAGAATTTTTTGCTGGTAAATTCTGGTAAATGTGTCAAACGATCAGCTGTAGTGTGTTTGGCAACCAAATTGTAAACAAAAGAAAAGTGCACTCTGCTAATCCATGTTGAAAAGTATTTAATTACTTGTTTAAGTGGATTCTAATGAATTTGAAAGTACTTTTGGTTATTTACATGTGTGAGCTGAGTGTGTTTACATACAAAATAAGCAAAAATTTACAACCAAAATTTGGATGTTATGTTGAAGTTGACAGAAGTTACCATTTTTTACTAGAAAGCGATCCCGTACTTTTCAATGTTACTCTCTCGCTCTGAGCGAATTTTTATTTTTTGACAGTTTTACTAGTCCGAGTCCGAGGAATACGGGATAGCGTAAATGATATGGATTAAAGGGTTGCAGAATTACATTTGTCTCTTCTACGCTTGAAAGCACTCTTTGCTTTGTACTCTACTCCCAAGTAGAATGCTTAAATCTCTCCGCGCAAAGCCATTACTCTTCATCGCAAGTGCAAATGCTAGTGATACTTCTTCTGTTGAGCCAAATTGTGTACACTACTTGCCACGATCGCGCAATACAGGCAAACGACGCTACGCCAACGAGTACAGAAAATATTACACGCTTGCTTGCAGTAATCGAAAGTGCTTGTGGTGCTTGTGTATTCGAAATTCCTCGTCGTATTTGGTCGTTTGCAACTTGACTGGCAACGCATGCGCACAATTAATAAATTTGCATAATGGAGCTTGACAACGTAAATATTAATATTAAATACATATTTCGCTTCTATCATTTTAATGCATTAATGTTTGCAGTCATTTACCAACGATCCACCTGCTACAAACGTTAGTTTTAGTAGTAGTTTGAGTAATAGTGTCATAAGAGAAAAAATTCTTAGCGGCGAGTTTAAAATTTCTAAGGGTACTGGGAAAAGTAAAGTAAAACGTGTTTCAATGTATTAAAGCACTGCAAAAAATCAACCTCAAACTTATTGAAGCACAAGTGCGTTATAAGATACTCAATGAATAGTAACAGCGAAAATGTACTATTTTCCGAAATCGACAAAACTTGTACTAAAAATGAATGTAAGCGGCTCATGGCAGAATTCACTGTAGATGCATTACATACTGAGTCAGATTCCACGCCGTCATGTTCTACCGAAAATAGTTTATTGTTCAGAGATTTTGTTCAACCAAGACAAACGCTTAGTATTGAAAATAAAATCTATAGAGGAATTCATAAGTACGAAAGCACTGATGTTGAATTTTATGACGATTTCGATATTGTGCACTGGTGGGACGGTCATAAAAATGATTTCCCAATTTTATATAAACTGAGCTGTCGAATTTTAGCAACTCCGGCATCCTCAGCTCCTTTTGAAAGAGCATTTTCCGTCGCCCGAAATATTATCACTGAGAAACGTTGCAGTATTAGTTGTAATGACAGCGCAATAAACAGGATAATGTTCCTACATTCAAGCATTGGTTAAAAGTATGTATATTAAAAAAATTTGAATTTACATTCTGTATATGCAGAGCTGTGTAATGATTGAATCAATTGAGTGTGCATTCTCATTTTTTTCGTTTCAAAAATGTGATTGTTTGATTTAAAAAATTTAACAACCACTCTTGAGATTGGTTACAAATTGTAAACACAAAATATGTAGTGTGTTATGGAATGGTTGACACCCATTCACATAGAGAATGTGAATGCAAAAAAAAAACTCAATCATGTATGATTGGACGTTTATGGGAATGCAATCTGTCATTATCATTCAGTACTAATACTATTTGTTGTATCAGGGTTGAAATTTTTGTACTCAAAATGTGAAACCAGAAGATTGCCATCTCCCTTAAAATAAGTAAACAAATAAATATTTGGTGCTAAAATATTTTTCTAAGTGTTTGGCCGAATTTCTGCTCAAACTTGAGGCATGAGTTCTGATTTTCTAAGAAGAGTTTTCAAAGCAGAAATATACTCGAAGGTTTGCCATTGCGTGCCGAAGGACGACTGCTATTTTGGGCTATGATCTGACCAGGTATTTAACCATGGTCCTATGGAGTGGAAGTACGCACATGTAATCACTCTGCTACGGCGACCGCCGTAAGTACATGCTATACATATCGTGGTTTAAAGTACAAAACCGCGTATCAAGAAAATGCAAAACCGCGTAATTGCATAAATTATTTTCTATAGAGTAAAGTCACCCATATTTCAAAATGGTTATCTTCTTTATAAAGCAAACGTATTCTGGCTAGTATATTTCAGGACGAATGGATAAGAATTGAGCCAAGAGTTTTTGTGAGCAAATCCAATTTTTGGCAGCCAATGTCAGTCACACGGTTTTGCAGAATGACGATACGCGGTTTTGTACTTTAAACGACGATATATATGTACACATATTAGATTATTTATTCTCAAAATGCATGAAAACTATAGTATGCTTGCAAACAATTAATAACATTTTGTGATAAACAGTTTTACAAATGTATTTGCACTTCAAATTTGTATTTTAGTAAAGTATTAATTAAATAAATTATTATTGTAAATTATTATTTTAATAAATAGATATAAGGATATTTATACTTGGCAACTCTTGGACTTTTCTTCATTTGTAACAAATGACAGACGTAAACAAAATAAAAAAATAATTGTATTTTTACAAATTTAAAGCAAACGGGCGTTCTTTACAAAAAAATGTAGTTAGGGATCGAATTGCGCATATTTTTTTTACAATATCAAGTGCCCACAAGAAGTGTTAAACCACTAAATAGCTTAAAAAACGCTTTCAAAAATTCGAAACGAGAGTGAAGTGCAGTGGTCAATTGTGATCGAAATTGCAGGCAAAATTTGTGCGTGTGTAATTAATGTTTTACTTATTTGAAGAAATGTTGCCCGTCGTTATTAAAAATAAGGAAACCAAGACCCCGCTTTCCACTGGTGGTTACATAATACTTGAATAGCTCCTTAATTAACATGTGTGTGCCAGTTAAACAGGCATGTCTGAATCGATTTCCTTCATCATTCTTACCAATTTGATGTGCATTTTTATTGTTATGTGTTGCAAACAGACATTTTAGGAACTAAATAGGTTCTAAAATCTCTGTACACAAGCGCACTTATTTTTAACAGTTTCCAGTTTATGTAATATTAATCAAAACAGCTTTTATTTATTTTATCTATTATGTGATTTCTGGAAGCGTCGAATACAAAAAAGGGCTGTGACTGGGTT